GCGTGCGTGCGTGCGTGCGTGCTTTCTTGCGTGCGTGCGTGTGTGTGTGTGTGTGTGTGTGTGCGTGCGTGCTCCATGCTACGAAGCACTTCCAACGCGGGCCAGTATGAAAGCAGTCCAACCGCAGGTCGGTTGTCGGTTTCCTCAGGTGGCTCTGACCGCCAAAGACGATGCACCCATCAGTCGGCTTGAAGAGAGCTATGCGCCTCGCCTGAGTGTGGTCAAGTGTGGCCCGATTGCTCATGCAGGGTCATGCGCGGTTTCTGTTGCCCCGTAATTTTCTTTAGCGAGGGTCACTGAAAGCCTCAGCAGGTATCCGGCTTGCCAAGCAACAGAGTTGAAGACTGAGTACCAAGGAAATCAATGCAGGGCCCAACACGTCATCGCGGCATGTTTGTGATGATGGCATGAACCATGCCGTCGCATACTATGAGTAGCCAATTCACGGCAAAACCAAGGGCGTACCTTCAAATTGCATGTAGATCCAGTTTAGAGCGCTGCCCATTCCAGCGACCACGTTCTTGGGGCGTGTTGCTTGGCAATTCCGACGCTCCCATGTCTCGTCTCACCCTTCAGGATCATCCTCATGAGGCAGGACACCTTCGACTACTGGTCGTGAGCTCAAAATGGGTATCGCAGAAGAAGCCTTACGGCTTGGAGCTCCTTGCAGTGCCTTGGCCTTGAGTGCAGTGCGAGGTGCGATGAGCCGGAGGATGACAGCGAGGCCTTCTGGCTGCAGCGGGAGCCCCGGGTGCATCGGAGGGCTCTGCTCCTTCTGCTGCTGCTTTTGCCGTCCCCGCTTATGCTGTTGGGTGGTGATCGTGAGGAAGAAGATGACAAAATGCTGCTGCTGCCGCTGATGATGACGGTGATGGTGAATAGGTGATGACGGTCATGATGACGATGACATTGTCGTCATGATGGCTGCGTCACGGTGGTGGTGCAGCTCTGCTGCTTTTGTTATTTTGTGTTGCTGGCGGTTCCTGGTTGTCGCAGGGCTGCTTCGCTCGCCACGGCTGCGACCAGCTGCGCTTGTGCCTGTGGATGCGGTGCCAGCCAGACCTGCTCTGAACCATTGCCTCGAACTAGGCCTGTTTACTGGCCTATGCTGGCCTGGTTGGGCGGGATACTGTGCTTGTGTAGCTAGGCACTCAAGCTCGTGCCCTCAGAAAGTCGATGAAACTCGTCTACGTCTATGGTTCGCAGCCAAACAAACATGTACTTTCGCATGGAGAATTCTGCTGCGACAACCCACCACCAACGGTGCGACATGTTCATGGAAACTTCCGCCCATCTCCACACTCCACGTGCTTCGGCGCGTATGTTCTGTCATCACATTCGCTGTAGGGGGATTCTGACAAGCATTGCCCACCTGGAGCTTACGGGGAGCTTTGAATTTCAATTCCTGCTTTTGGAGCTCAAAACCCGCCGAGGGCCTTCCTCCTCCGGGCCGGGCCCAACTGGACCCTGGGCGAGGTCATCGATGGAGACCTGAGCCTTCTGATGAGCCGAGGTCCGAACTGCGTAGTTTCACTGCGGGTGAAGTTTAAGGCAATCTGAGGGGTCTGAACGAGAGAGCAGTGAAGGTGACGGCCCACCACCGCCATCGGGCCCCGAAGTGGTCGCCGTGGTGCGCCCCGATTCGATTTGTGTTGCTTTGAGACAACACGGGACGGGACAATGGCAGCCTGAGCTGCCTTCTGATCTCCATGCTAAAGCCAAAGTCCATTCTTTCAGGCACCTTACCTAGAGAGAGCCAAGCCTTCGATGCAGGGTACCCTTGCTGAATGACTGCACGTCTTCCGTGCAGGTGGCGCTGTCCCTGCAAGCCTGCAGCAAAATGACAGACCACCACAAAGAGCAAAGCGCTCAGACCCATGCATTGTAGAGCTTCAGTCAGAACTTCCGGCCTGCAAGAATTGCGTTGACGTGCAAGTGCATTTTAGCTCAGAGCAGGTGGGCAGCATACACAGCTGGATGCGATGCCCAGCTGGAAATGCCCATCCTCCGTTTTGCCGTGCCCTGAGAAAGAGCAAGGTGAGCAATCCGGCTCTTTGCTCACATCCGTGGTTTCCCCGGGTGTTTGCCACGAGCCAAGGAATATCTTCCCTATTACAACGAGGAGGTGGACATGCCGCAGGGCACGACGTTCGTGAAGCATTTCTCGGTGCAAGATGGTGCCGCGGTCGCATCCAGGGCCGGACAGCAATGCACGACAGTTTTTCTGCCTTGGCCTCTGAAGGCGTGGAGCTCTTTGACAACAAGGTCTTCGAGATCTCAAACATGGAGGCAACAGAGCTTCGAGCCCTGAACAGAGGGAGGATGCGCTAAGGGCATAGGTGGAGAGACCCTTCCCGTTGTGGCTTTCGAAGAGAGATTGAGAAGTGACGAATGCTGGTTAGCAGCTAGAGAGTGTGCCTGCGGGTACAACACTGACCACTGAGCTCGCGGGTTGCTTCGTGCAGGCCGAGTGCATGGACCCGATGTTCCGGCAAGTTATGGAGGCTCGATATGTTGCTAAAGTAGACACTTGTAGGAACACTGAGGTGCACTCCCATCCATCAGTTGCTGAGCCCGCCAACTCTGAGAACTGTCTCGAGCTGTTTTTGCTGAGAATTCAGGTGGGCTACCTGTCCACCCTGCAGATTGGGCTCACCAAGAAGCCGGGGCCCTGCAAGCGGGATCTCGCTCCCGTTGAGCTACGTAGCACCGAGAGAGCGCACCTTTGGAGTATGAGACCCCTTTATGCTTCACAAGCGAAGAAGAACGGAGCTCAGCGCCTCTTCTTGCGAGGATCGCCAACTCGAAATCCACTCACGCCTCCGTGTCCGTTGGCCTGGACAAGCAGGAGGGCAATTTGGGTCACGTACTGCAGGGTGGGTGTGACTGCCACCAGGGTTGTGAGAGATTGTTTCCGCCATCCTGCGCAGGAGTGGAATCAGATGCCAGTCGCGCAGAGCGTCGCGACGAACAACCAGCTGGCCATCGTCGCGAATCGCTTCAACTATGTCTTCAACCTGAAAGGCCCCGCTGACTCCTCGGATCTCCTCGGGTCCCTGCAATTCTTTTCAGGATTTTCGGAAGGGGACTTCGGGTGATAGGAGCCCCTACCACCGGGGGACCTCAAACACCCGATTGCAGAAGTAGGACGAGCCACGCAGTTCGAAATCAGCTGCCTACGACCGGCGGCTAGACAGCCCGCAGTCCATGGCACATGAACCCTCACGAGCCTGGGTCCGGACAAACCTGCGACAAGAGCTCAGAAGCTGGCAGGTGGCAGTTATGCTTGCGACACGGCTTGCTCTTCCTCCCTGGTGGCACCCTGACCTGAAAGTAATCGGGCGCAGGCCCAGGAACTTCGAGAGCCAGGCATAGGGGAGCATAGGCCATAGAGGGTGCAATCTCCGCAGCGGTCGCAGCCGAGTCGAGGCCTCGCACCTGGGGAAAGTGAACCTCCTGGAGCAGAGGCGGGACTCGGGTCAGCTCTCTGGGGAAGCCAGAACTTTCCGCCGGGTCCTTCACCTTCCTGTGCAGCAAGATTTTGAAGCACCGAAGTGCAGGTGGGATCCTCTCGAGTGGCACCTGGGACTGGGCACAGGCCTAACATTGACAGCGCCCGCCTCAGAGCCGAGTTGGCGGTCGAGTGCCGGTTGTGGTGGAAGTGTCAGTCCGTGTCAGTTTAGTCGCGTCGTCGTTCAGGATGGGTCAAAGGGATGCTGGCAAGCGCATCGTTACGGGTGATCTGGATGCTCGCGCACACCAGGATGACCGCCCTGGATGTATGGGCTGCGCAGGGAAGAAGGGCAGGCTCACAGGTGAAGAGGCCTGAGGGGGGAGGACTGGCTTCACAGGAGGGTGGTCCTGCCAGGCCGAATACCAGGCGCCTGTGCAAACTACGTCAGGGAAGGAAAGGGAAAACAGAAGCCACAGGCTAGACGGCAGAGGGGTTCGTCTGAAGTTTAAGCGGGAGGAGGGGTGAGGCGAGGCCGGTGTTGGAGGGAGGAGGGAGCCGCAGTGGGCGGATTGCACAAGCTCGAATAAGTTTTGTGCTGCAGTCGCAACTTATTAGTACTCACTACCTGTTAGCCTCGCCACGTGGCACCCTGCCTAGGTGGGATCATTCATCCATGGCTGTGCGGCGCAAGGGCACCCAGTTGCAGAGGTGAGGGCTCGGAAGCGAGAGGCGCGTGCTACCAGCAGGTGAACTCTGAACGTCCCTGAGCCTTTCGACCTCTGCTCCTAGGCACATGCTTTCTCCCGGTGGCCGGTGCTTCACCTTCAACGCCCTGGAGCCCGGACAGAGAATGTCGGGCCGAGAACTGCGTAGATCGCAGCTGCGGGTTCCGTGTCTCAGTGGCCGAGGCTACTGCGAATGGCTACAATCGCGGAGACGGCACAGCGGCCTTCCTTATCAAGCTTCCTGGCTTCTGAATGGATGAAATTCCTTTCACCATGGGCTTCAGCCCGAGTGGAAGCTGCTAAACTCCTAGACTGCTGGACCCTCCAAGCGAATCTAGGGAACAGTGAAGCGAAGGAATGGCACCTTCGAGGAGGAGAGGCGCGCAGAAGCCCTTTGGGTTTAGGGTCATTTGCTATGTGTAGCCAATTACTGAATGGACAGGATTGCAGGGTTCCGGGTCTGAGCGGTGGGAAAGGATCAGAGCGACAGCTACCGGGGTCGGACTCTGAAGGTCATCCAGGCTAGGGCGGCTCGCCCCTCGGGCAGGGTGGTGTGCATCGAATTCAGGCTCCAGGCTTTGGCTTCAGCCCCCTAGTGACTGTGCAGACTGTGCAGTCGCTGAAAGCCTCAAGTCTTCAACCTGCTGGAAGTCCAGCGAAGCAGCGCAGGTACGCCTTCCTCCGTGGAACTCAGATTGGCCAGGATGGACGTAGCGCCAGTATGCCTTCGTCTCAGTTGGGCACGCCGGACCACGGTGAAGCTTGACTAGGCACCCTTCCTTGACGTGGCAGAGGTTTCGTTTCGGTCTTCCGGACTCCGCCAATTTCGTCCTCCTAGACCCCGCAGCAATTCAAACTCCAAACCCTAAAATTAAGCCTTGACCCAGACTTGCAACTGCACACGCTGTTCGGAGCTAAACTGAGGTCAGCCCCAAACGGTCCTGCACAGGAGAAGTGCGTCCGGGGCTTGGCAGCTCGCGCTTCTGGGAGAGTGGTTGAGGGCTTTGAGCTCTGGGAAATACAGTAGGGTTTAAGAGTTTGGGAAATGCAGTAGGGTTACTAAGACTTAAGGCCTTATTCCCGCAACTTTCGGGTTGGAAGGTGCGAGATAACGGTTGCTGTTGGCTACGAGCTCGAAGAAGGTCGGCCTTTGCAGTGATTCCACGATTCTGACTTTTTGTCATGTGGCTGAGCATCTCTTTTGGGACGGCTCGAATATACGAACTGCGAATGAAATACCCGATGAGTGGTCACTGCTGTAGTTCGAACATCGCGTAGTAAGTTAGTTCTGTGGACTGAGCGCCATACATCACATATCCGAAGTGTCCAGTGTATTCCAGTATGTGGAATCCTAGAATCACCTTTTGTCAAGGTTTGGGGCGCTCTTCGAGAAGCCAAGATGTCACCCTCTCAGTGCTCTACATTCGACGAGGAACACTCTAAGAAGACACGCAATCGGGTCTGGTCAGGCGACCTCCAGAGTCCACGGTGTGGGAGTGTCACGGCACCGGGCCGACCCTACACGCTTCCTCTCCTCTGCAGTGGCGATGCGTGTGGTCGTCTGAGTCTAAGGGGGCGTACGTACTGCTTGAAGCATCACGCTACCTACCAGTACATGTGATTGGGGAAACCATGGCTGGGGACTTCTCCTGATGGATGGGGACGATTCCCGGAGAGGAGCCGCACAAAGATGCATGAGTGAACTCCCGTTTTGTAGGTCTTCTGATTCGAGGGTCGAGGGATCCTGCCACATGGCGGGTTTAGTCTTTAGGTGAGGCCAGGGGCCACGCAACCGCTGCTAGAGCTTCGCTCAGCAGCCAGGACCTCCCTTGGAGATCCCATCGAAGTCGGCGCAGTTCGAAAAGCAGTGGCCTCAGAACTCAAGAAGCTGCTGTCTTACAGCGCAGACGGGCAGCAAGCAGTCGTGTTTCTCAGGTGCAGGTCAAGGAACAGCGCGCCGAGCCCCTTCTGATCGCCAGCAGCAAGCCACCGACTCAAGGATGGGAGAAGGTGCCTCGTTGCCGTGTCAGACAGGAAACCTCTCCGAAGGTCCACGGAACCTTGCTGATGCAAGTTTACCGAGGTCCAATCTCGGGCACCTGGAAGGAAGCGCGCGCTTCTCAGAGCACGTCAGGGCTTATAGCAAGATTGGTTGAAACTTAATCCCACACCCTAGATTGCCCCACTCCGTCACGAGGACAGAAATTATGTGCCTTGAATCGTAACTGCCAGCATCATCAGCATCATGTCCCGTAATTAGAATGATAACCCTACGGAAATGATCCTATACAACACCTAGCAGGCAGTAGAGCGACTTGCTGTGGGGCTTCGTCACTCCCTCACACACTCCACATCCTCAGAATCGCTAACTCGCACACCAGAACAACCCCCCCATCGTACAGTGGCATCACAACACAGCGCAGCGCAGCATGGCGCAATGTTGCATAACATAAGCAAGTTCCTGAGTTTTCTATTCACCTCTGGTGGCTGCAATCCATCATGTCTTCCTGTAGTCGAGAAAGTCGAATTCGTCTGAGCGCCCGCAAAACGAGAATTTTCGGTTTGACAGGGGGTCTGCCTCTGCATGCATGCTCACTCAGACGGGAGCTCGTTGGGAATATGGAGCTGCCCTGACCCCAAGGCTGCGGCCATCGCAATGAACAAGTGCATCCTGGTCGTGATGCACGCCATGGCTGCCGGGAACTTGTAAAATCCGCCGCGCGATCCGTGCACGCACTTCCTGGTCGTCGGTGGTAGGTCAGGTTTAACGGGGAAAACTTCGGGACCTTGTGCAGCTGCTTTGATTGCCAAGTTGCCGACGCAGCACTTGAAGACGTTGAATCCGCACTTGGACCATGCGGCTTTCGATGCCCTGTACTCCACCGAGCAAACAGTGCGGCTCCTAGCCCGATGCAGATGCAGGTGGCATGAGCTTCCAGCCCCGGATAAATCTTACGAAGCACGCCCTGCCGTTGTTTCGATGCAGCAGAATAAGGCAAAGCAAAAACAAGCTTTGCTCACTTGCTCTCAGCCGGAGCACCTGCATGTCCGCTGGCACGCAGGCCTACAAGTATGCCCAGGGCCACTGCCAGGCACCGGAACACCCTTATAGTGAGGGGGACAGGCCGATGTTTGGGACCTGAATGAAGGACATCATCCCTGGCCGCTTGGCTGTCCCCTGTGTAGCACCGGGCAGGTGTCCTCCTTTGGTGTTGGAGGCACAAACGGCCACGCCATCTTCTGGGGGGAGAAGGCAGACGAGAGATGCTTGCAGATGCGATGACCGTTCTTGAGCTTCGTTTGGAGTCGCTCTCTAGCTCACCAATGTTTTGGCATAGCACTCGACACCAGAAGCCGCTAAAAAATATCCTGAGTCGCCGGCTTTGGAGGCGCAACCGGACGTGGACTTCCGCCGGGTCTTCCTTAAGAGCCTCGTCTTTGGTGCAGCCTGTAGGCTCCAGTCTGGGCCAGACCTTTGCAGGTGTACCAACATGGCTTTCTTGCATGTTCTCGTTGCTTGCCCTTCTTGCAATTGTTGAAGGTGCGGGTCAGGACCTGTGGTGGCATCTTGTGGCCAGCTTTTGGGCACAGTTAGACTATGTTTAGACTGTTTAGAATCTAGATAGGGCACGATGTCATGGCTGTTAATGTGCTTTCTGCGCATGGATGCAAGGCACAGCTCTGCCGGCATCCGCGGAAGCACTAATATCCTTAACCTTGCTTGTGCTCAGAAAGAAGCCTGAAAGCCTCCAAAGTGTTCGAAAAGGTTGACAGGAATGCTGGACAGAGAAGAATCCGTCCGTATCAGTGATCCCATACAACTTCGGCAGATGCTCCAAGGAAGATCATGCGAGCCACACCGCCAATCACCACGGAGGGCTCCACGGACCCTGCCTTGTGGGACTACAGGGGGCTTCCGGCTGAGAAGAGAGCGTTCTTGCATGTGCGTGAGCATTTTCGTGGTTCGGTTGTGGAGGGGTTTGGGTTTCAATTCCTTGCTCGAGCATTGTTGGAGCCCCTCGGGGCACTCGTCTGTCGGCGTATGTCCCTTGAGGCTTGATTACAAAGCCACCATGGGCGACACCTACAAAGTGTCGCTGGACAAGGCCTGGCGAGTCTGATTTCGGTCACGAGTTTGCGGATGCCACAGCACGGAGACAAATGTGGTGATCAACTTGTTTGCACCTAAGTTCGGGGATACCGAAGCTTCAGACGCTCGATGATCCAACAGGTCACCACTATATGTGCATATGTGCTTTCCAGTGTTCGACCACATTGAGGACCCACTCACTGGTGAGGAGAACGTCAGCTTCGAGAAGGAGCAGGTCAAAGGGACCGGTGTGGACCAGAGCTGTTGTGCTGCTGAATGCTGCTGAGGTCAGGGACGACCCTGCGGAGTTCTACAGTACGACGGGCAACCACAATGACTGGGACAGTGAGCGAATGCAGGAGGGCTCTGTGCTGAGCTTAGTTTTCTGGCTGCAGTTTTTGCATCTCAGGAACCTGAAGAGCAGCATTCACAGAGATCATTTTAGTCCACCATAGTGTCGTGAAGGCTTGTATCGTTTCGGGCTGTGTGAAGGGACTGCAGCAGAACGGGCTGAGAGAAATGTAGTACTGCACCTCAGATCCCCGGTCTGTACTTTCAAGACATCACAGCTGCGAGCTCAGTTGGTGGTGGTGGGTGGTGGCAATTCTGTCGTTGTGGCACTGAAGTACAGTAGACAGTGCAGTGGGCATTCCAAAGTTAAACTGTAGCGGTGTGGGAGCGTCGGGTCCGATTCTATGGCGGTGCTCAGCATACAGCTCTTCGTTTTGTTGCACAGTGCTGCGCATGTAGGACTACAGGAGTATACCGTCGGCCCTGCCGGCGTAGGCATTTCCCGGCGACAGCAACCAACTCACTGATGCAGTTCAAGCAGTCGAGTCCCTGACTGCCTCAACGGCTCCCGCCTCAACATGGTGCTGAGGTACCGGAGGGAGGACAGCTCGAATTCCGCATCCTAGCCTCGCAGCAGCAGATCAGAACAGTCGTCATGGTTCGCTGGGTGCACGTTGGGCAAAGCATTACAGTAGCTCTAACGATAGTGCAGAATTAAGGGAAAGAGGCAATGCATACAGCAAAGATGCCAGATGGGCGGTTTCCGATTTTCGTGGGTTTGAAGGCGCTCATTTCGACAAGTCCCGCAGAGATTGCTGCGACAAAGATGCAGGTCGATGGAGATCCCGACAAGCCATGAGCTCAGAAGTCCCCCCTGGATGCCATGAGCCCTAGATGCCCTAGCAACTGACATGCACACCAGCATACTTGCACCTGCCATGTCGATTGCACATCGCCTGCAAGACTCAGCTCATGCGACCGGCTTTCTTTTGTCTCGAATCCCTGTCAGCCCTTCTTTCAGGAACATCGGGCCCGAGGATACGACCTCGCTTGGGCCTCACATTCAACTGCCGTAGAGTGCAGTGGTACGGGTGGTGTTGTGGCGCATTGGGAAGCAGCTTAGTTTACTAGCTGTGGTCTGTGACTTCATTTGGATGTTTTCTTCTGAGGAATATTCAGAATCCGGGAACATCTCCGGTACTGTACGCGTTTCCTTCCGTCGGTCAAGGCAGCCTCTCGTTCCCATCAAGGGGCCGGAGAAGCAGCTGTGCTCTTGGCATGCATTCTGCAAAGTCTTTGACTTTCAGCAGGGATGCAAGAATATGAGGGAGTCTGAGCCATTCTGAGCCGAAGCTGTCAGGCAATGCCCACCCCGCAGATTCAATGTTGGTGTCAGTGCAGCTGTCCGTTTTGGATGGAGATACACCCCGCAAAGCAAGCGTACGTAGGGTTCCTGTGCGATCGTGGCAGTGGCCGGCAAAGCAGGCGCACCTCGTGGTTGGTGGACGCTTCGCCTGGCACGCTCGTCCGGGTCCGGCTGCCCAGACTTTTGCTCCGGTCAGGTGAAGTGAGTTGCTTGTGTTTGTTGACCCGGGCCTGTGAACGCTTGGTGATACATAGCATGCGGGAGTGTGCTTTTCTTTAGCGGACACGACCCGGCTGCATGACTCCGTGCCAAGGTGGAATTCCTCACATCCACGAAGGCACACAGAAGAGAATCGGGGAAGCAGTCTGTGAAGCGAGCGGGGCAGGCGAGGGACCTAGAACTTCTAGAGAGCTGATTCGCCTGTCCAGGATCTCCACAGCTCGTTGAAGCCAAGAAGTGTCTCATGGTTCATCGCGCGGGGCCCGGCCCGGAAGCCACCAGCACAACTCAGCTGAGCCCTGGGAATTCGGTCTCAGTGCCGCCCAGCGCGTCCAATGCATCTCCTGCTAAGGTTGGGGACTAGCGTGCTGTCGAGGTCTGAAGGGCCGCCGCACGCGAATACCCAATCACCTTGCGTAGGATTGAAGTGCAAATGCCAGGTTAGTGGTAAACGATCGTACATGCACTTGGGATATCCTGAAATGCACCCTTGAGTTGTAGAGCCTCTACCCTTTGGAGCGAGTTATCAGGTATCCTAGCTGCTGCTCGTTGGATTTAACTACGCTTCTGTCGAAAAGATTGTTGGCACCGGGCGATCTGGTGAGCTGTCCGACATGATTTGTGCAAGATCGAGTGTGACAAGGGTCGAGCACCTTGCGTCTGTGCTACTATGTCCAATCCAAAGACTGCATGGCTGCCTATGTGCAAGAACCCTTCGTTGAGGTCCCCCTGACTCAAGCTTGTCTTACAGGCGCTTACACAATGCACGCATGTACGTTTGATTGCACGAGAAATCCAACCTCTCCAGAACGCAGCATGCGATGCACCCAGCAGCCCTCTAAGAGATCGCCTGGGCTTGCGCATGCGAAGGCCAGAGAACTGCTCCCACTCCGCAGCTTTCAAGGCTTCAGCTTGCCTTCTGTTTCGCTGAGTGCGGCGAGGCTGAGCCGCTAGGATCAGATGGGGCACCCTACTGTGGACGCGGCATGTGCAGAGCTCCGCAGCATGGCTCTCGAGAGGCAGCAGGACTGAAACTGTGGCTGCTGAGGGGTTGACGACAAGCCCTGCAAGCACTCCGGGAGGACTGGCGGAGACTAAGCTCCATGTCGCTGCTCGATGCCACTGGCGAGCTCCTGTGCCTCAAGTCGGGATGCAAAAATGTTGTATCTTCATACAGGGTGCACAGGGCGGATGACATCGAGGCACGTGGAGGAAGGTGTTTGCCGCAGGCTTCCCGAGTCAGAAAATGCATCTAACACTTGGGTGGTATGCCCAAAGTTGTGCTTCTTCAGCCGTTTGAGTTCTTGCCTGTCTGATGTTAGCAGCATTCACCTCTAATCGATGGCTGCATCTGAGGATGGATCTTCCTCAGCTGGCGATCCGAGAAGAGTGGCGCTCCTGGCGCGAGAACACACTGCTCACGGAGATCTCGAAGCTCCCGGATGGGCACCGTGTTTTGCTGCAGGCGTTGTTGTGTGACACCCTGGCGGGATACGAAGAGCTCCAACCGCGCTTTGCGGCGTTAACACCGCCACCACGGGAGAATGATAGCCTCGCGGCGCGGCTCGTGCGACTGGCTGCCACGGCTCAGGCCGAGACCGCCAGGCTGGTGAACCCCAAAGGCGGGAATTCCGCGAAGTCTGGGTCGGATGCTTATCTGAGCATGCTCCTGCACCAGAAGTTGACCTTGGCGAGGCAGGAGCCACCAGTCCCACCCACAACAATGCTTCACATGTGGGACAGATGGTATGCTACTGCGGAGAAGAGCTTCCCGGACGAGGCTCTGCTGAAGCTGCAGCTGCTCAAGCTTCGACAGAAATCTGCATCGAAGGTGATCTGCCGGGCCATGACAAGTCAATTACAGAAGAGGAAGCTGTATCAGGAGGAGACGCGCATCAAAGCTGCTCTCAAGTTGCAGCGCACATTTCGGAACATCATTCTGCCACGACTGCGTGAGCTGCGCGAAATCGTAGACAAGATCCGGGAAAGATGTCTTCAGCAACGCTTGCATCGACGTCTCGAGCGCTTTGTGCGGGCGAGGCGCCTGTCGCGGAAAGCAAGCCGCGCGAGCTGGGCAGTCTCTTGACTGAGTTCGGACACCATAATGTGGCCGTGGTTTGATGCAGTGGCACTAGCTGCTGCTGCAGTGCCGCACGGTTCTGCTTGTAGTTCTCACAGCTGTCTGCCTTTATGCGGGGTTCCTCTGTTGGGTAATTACGCAGAAAACGCAAAGCACCGACGCACATTCGAGCCACGGCCGGGGCTGGACCCACAGCCGAGGACTCCCTGCCTGAGCCTGAATCATCTGCATCGGCGCTTCGGATCCAAGCCTTCTGCCGAGGCTGCAGGGGGGCTGGGCATGCCGTTCTGTTGGGCTACTCTGATACTGTAGACTCTGTAGACTTAGAGCCTTTTTGTCGATACTGTGCTGGGGCTGGCTTTAGGCAGGCTGTGCCCTATGCCCATCGAACTGGATCAGGTCGTTGGAGTCGAAAGGGCTGGAGCTACTGCTGCTGGTCGAAAGCGTTGGAAGAGAAACTCCCCATGCAGGAACATGACAGTGTGTTGAAGACTCCCTCTGTGTGGATTCTTTCAAGGTATTGCTTCCCAGCTCAGAACCTGGAAATTAGCGGAAGCAGAAAAGTTGCTTAGCTGAGGCTGGGATCCCCCCTTCACCCGCGCTTCCACTTTAGCTGCACGACAGCGCCTCGCCTGAATCGCTTTCCTGCGGTTAGTGACTATCCACCGTGCATGTGCGTTCTGGGTCAAGATCTCTGAACAGCATGGCTTCGTGAAGCCTCTATGATCTTGTCACGGGTCAACGCGACATGATCATGGCCTGACCATGTATGACTCTGTATGACTGTCTAGCCGCAGTCTATCAGGAAGCAAACTTTATCGGCCTTGCCATTGCTGACCGCTGCCATGACGCTCGGATGTTGTATCATGTTGGCATGACCCGTACCAAAGAATCAAGCAGTCACCGCATGAGGAAGCCTGGATGTAGTCCTTTGGCAATCGTTTGCAAAGCCATCGAAGGAAGCGAGAGTTTGCAAAGCTTCGCCTTCGGCGAAGAGATCAATCGAATTGGGAGCGACTTCGACGTAGCTGGCTGCCGGTTCTTCAAGCCGAGTTCTCGATGCTCGGCTCCTGGCATTTCGAGGCGGAGGATAAGGAGCGCCGCGCCGACTTCGAAGCCCGGAACTTGCGGCGCTTCGAGGCTCAGTGGCAGAGATATGCTGCAGGCTTGGAGAACTTTGCTCGTGCTCATGCTCTGGACCGCTCGAAGAATCGCGACCAGTGGGTGGCAACGGTGAGCGACGGGAAGGCCGTGTGGCTGAACGAAAGAACAGGGCAGACCCGGCCGAGTGACCCTCTTGAAGCCCGTGTGCGGGGCACCCTGGCACGGGAGCGCAAGACGCAGGTTTGCATTGGATTTTGTTTGAGCTCTCATGTTTGACATAGTTTTGCGTGTTTGCCAAGGCCCAAAAGTCGCCCAAGCTCCAGAGCAATCCTAAAAGCCCTGCTGACCCGAGCCCTGCTCTGCCCTGACAATGCCGGAACTGAAGAGAAAAGACAAGTGTTGGTCAAGGAAAGCGGTCGACCGTTTCGAGGATCAGGCGCGGCAGCGGCGTGCCGCCTGGGAGGAGGAGGACCAGGCGTCGGGGGCTGCTTTTCAGATCTGCAATGACACCAAAGTTCCCTGACTTCTTCGGAGGCTTTGGAGGAGCTTTACGCAGCCGGGCAGGTGGAGCTCC